TTGAAGGGCATGGTGACGGTAGCATTGTGATGTGGGGCTGTTTTGGTCATTATTGCTCTGCCATTGCCTTTAAAAAATGTTTCTTTTGAGATGTAGCTAAAAATTGAAAGGAGACCAATTGTGGGTCCTAGAAATGTTTATGGTATGTCTGTGGGCTATCCAGACCATGTTCATTCAATTTAATGCACAAAATGATTCTCAGTTAATAAAATTTCCCATTTTCTAGTTCTGCCTGCTCTGACTTCTGTTCAGAAGAGCTGTTTATGTTAATGAGCTCTGTTGGTAACGCCCCCAAAAATCTGTTGACATTAACTCCGCCCTCCAAAGCCAGCGTTAGCATGGATAAAAATAGCAGAAGCTCCGTTGCACAACCGTATGACAGACCCAGAGGCAKAGTCGTGGTGGCAGCTTTTTTTTCTCCCTCCTCTGCTCTGCGCTCACTCTGCATGCTGTTACCAGAGCAGGGAGCAGCAGCGGTCAAAATACCTCAGAAATTCAAACAAATAGGCTTTAACAAGGCTTTAATAAGCTAAACAATACAGGTACATGAGAAAATGTGTTCATAATGAATGAAAATAAATAATTAAATAGCATCCATGCCAGTCTCAAACCCTAGTCTCCTGCTCTCTGGTCCAACACTCTGCCCATTGCCCTATTGGAGGCTTGTCATGAAWTGAGCTGCRCATTACACAACAACAACCTTGACGGCTTTTTATACTAAGGAGGTGGAGTCTCACCCGGGGGTTGCTAGCTGAGGGGCAGAACGCAGGTTCCGGTGGGTTGTCGTACGGCTTGTGACATCACAAAATGACAGAAGTATAAAACTTGTCATTAATATACATTAAAAATACACTTACTTACAGTAAATATGCCCCTGGGTGCATTTTCTTTGGTCCTAGGACTGTTTTTTAAGAAGTACATACCCAAAGTTGAGCAAAAAAAAACTTTAAAAAGTGAATTTTGCATAATAGGTCCCCTTTAACTTTGCGAAATGCTTTATGATAGCTACACAAATCATGTAGTCACAATGCAACATGCTATAAAAACAAACAAAAAAAAACAACTTTCTGACACGTCTCCATCCCGCTGGGCCTGGGATTGAACCCCCAACTCTCTCACCCATCTTCCTGCCACCGATCCACAGCGGCCCTCTTTGCCAGAACCATCACGGCGCACAGAACAAACTGTTTGCATCCGTCGCATCATTTCTTTGTCATTTTCGCCGAGCGTAAAGCCGGCTCTGCAGGCAGCTCATGGCGGGCCCACGCACGTCTTAGTGTGTGGCTGATCGCTTTGGTGCAGAAATCTGGAGTCATGCTGGCGCTAAATATAGACAGAGGTTTTATGTAAGCTGAGGTGAATCATTCTGTTCCACACATTTCAGCACATTTACTCACACTCGCTGAATAGGTGACATGGCACAGGTGAAGAAGAGGGAAAAAACAAATAAACGGATGTGTTAAAAGACCTTGTTTCAAGCTACAGAAAATGCATTTGGAAGGAGTGACAGTGCAGCATATGCTTGCTGTCGCTTGACGGAAATGACATTTGCATAAATTTCTGTTTGTTTGAGGGCTTGTGTTTGCTTGTGTTGCATGGAGGCTTAGCAGGAGCAGAGGGATTTTAATACGTTATCAAGGCTGGAAAATGAGCGATTGTTTCTGGGTTGACGACTTGAATCCTGGTCCTTCTCTTGAGCATCAAAACTTAAACCTCAAAAAGTTCACTCTCCTCAGTGTGTGTCAAACTATAGGCTTATTTTAGGCTTGCAGGTTGTTGAAGCCATTTTGGTTAAGCCTTAAAAAGATTCAAGCAATATCACAAGGTGATATGCGTTGTGAAAAACTCTTAGCTACACATCAAATTTTAGCCCACTATCTGCAATAGCCTACTGAGTGCTGCAGCCATGTTTGTGTTGGCTAAGTTCATCTGGATGTGGGGTCACCTTGAATTGAATTAACTCTAAAATTTAATCAGTTTTAAATGCAAATCTAAAGGTTAATTTCTGAAAGTCTCATTAAAATCTATTCAATGGTTCATAAGATATTTTGCTAACAGACAGACAGTGTTTACTCTAATAATTAATACTCAACTTTTATAGAAAAATCATGCTCAATGAGTATCACTTGGAGTACGTTTTGTGAATCACATCGAGCTATAACTAAGCTGAGGTTTAGCCCATTATATGTAAAACTGCGTTAAATATTGAATTTTTTTGTGTTTTCAGTTTTTTATGGTGACCATATTGAATTGAGGTAACTCCAGAAGTGAAACAGTTGCAGAGGTACGTCTAATGCATGCTTCTTGTAAGTTTCATTGAAATTCATCCAGTGGTTCAGAAGATATTTTGCTAACAGACAAACACACACAAAGGCAGGAGCAACACATAACTGCCTGCCTTTGATTTTTGGTGTCTTGCGTTAACTGTGAGGCCTGCTATCATTGTGTGTGTTTTGACAAAAAGGCAGGACAAGCCTTAAGCCAAATTTAAATCATCTACAGTAAGTGGATGCAAACACGGCTCTAATAATTGATCCGTCTGACACCAAATAACAAAGTCATGAAGTGTTAAAAGGAGTTCGCCCCAGTTAATAATGTGAAAAATGAGGGATGGATTTGAGCCAAGAGGAGAAAGATGGGAAAAACTAATTATCGGGGGGGGGGGGGGCAAGAATATGTAAAAGAAGGAAGTAAGAGAAAAAAAATCACACTGATGTTGGAAAAAGAGATAAACAGAAAGAGACTAAACTGCAGCGATAACGTCAAATAAATATTTTCTTCCAGTGAGATCACCTTTAACACTGACAGGTAGCTTCAGAACAGTCAGTTCCTCACACTAAWAAACACGCCAAGGCAGCACATCCAGTCGCTCTCTGCATCCTAAATAAGACAAAAAGCCAACGGCGTCACGTCAGCCGTTGTCTTCAGGGATCAGAGGAGTCTCTCCTCACGAATAAAGTTTGCTTTTTACTTCCTGTTGTCTGTCCACGTCTCTCTGGCTCAGCTTCACACACATTTCCCTCTGTTACATCATATCAGGTCATTCTTATCCTCAAGAGTCACAGACACATGCATAACAGTGGTGTCTGCTTTGATTTAGCCTTGGTCTAATCTTTCTGCCACTTCATGTAGGACACATGTAATCCAGCTAATGAGCAGCAACATCAGTGCTTCATTATCCACATTGTTTTCACTTTAGAGAGAAACGACTGTTCTGCTCTCRCAAACTTATGCTGTCGTTTGAGTTGAGTCGCTGATGTAAAAATTCTAAACTTCATGAAAAAGGTTTTGTAAGATTTTAAACACTGTTTTGCATAACAAATCAGAAACTCTACTTTGTTTTAATTCTATACATGATCTTTCAGAGGTTCAAATTCCTGTTATCTCTCAGTAAGCCTGAACCATTGCTAACGTCATTATGAAAGAATAGTATTGTAATTTTATGCATTGAATGTGTTCTTTATAATTATTATTACATTCTAACTAAGAATAAAGAGTGGCATGAGGGAATCCAACCGGTGATTTTCTGCTCCTGCAACCCAAAGCCAAGTTTGATCATTTTGACACCTGACCTGCAGTTAGATTGCACCATATAATAATAATAATAATAATAATAATAATAATAATAATAATAATAATAATAATAATAATAATAATAATAATAATAATATAAAAGCTAATGAAAAAGCAGGAACATGATAGTAGAACTGTTTTTCTTACTATTTGCTCATCTGCACTTGATTTTCTTGTGTCCCCTCTTTGAGAATTAATACATTTTGTAAATATGACTAACTTCAAAAAACTAATTTCCACTTAGCAAATTTAGCATTTTAGATTACGCAAAATACATATTTAAAAAAAATATAAAAGTTACTGTCATTTAAAAGTATTGCCTTAAAGCAATTGATGGCCGCCATCCTGCCTGTTTTGTATGTTTTTGTACTCCAACACACCTGATTTGAATGAACGTGTGATGAACGGCACTCAGCAGAACTTGAAGATGTAATTCCATCATTGACTCAGGTGTGCTGGTGCAGGCAAACAAGTAAAACATGCAGCAAGCGGCCCTCGAGGATRCAGGAATGCTTGAAAACAGGACGTGTGTCTTCTGTGAGACAATGCAAGGCTGCCACCTAGTGGCAAACTTAACTATCTACAGCATTTTTTATTTTTATTTTTTGCAACCAACTTTTCTGCTGCATTTGGGTGAAAATGACACTTGAGGCCTCAGAGTTAAGACATACCTGATGGGTTATTTTGACTCACGTACAGCAGTTATACATATAAATACAGCAAAATAACAACAAATATGTAAATGGCCCAATAAAAGGTTTCTCAAGTTCTTGTTACAGTTTTCCTCTATGAGCTCCATTGAATGGAAAAAGTACTGGAAGAGGTTGCTTTTGACATTAAGAAAATTCAGAACAGATTAAATTTATATAAGAAACATTTTGTGTTAGTTAGTTTGTTTGTTTGTTTCTTGACTGTCAAGTATAATATTGTATTGTGTGTATTGTACTGTATATTGTGTTAAGTATTTGAGTATGCATGTGAATAGTTGGTGTTAAAACCATTAAGAGGTGGGTTTAACTTCAAATCTTGTTTTGTTGTCCTTAAATGATGATAATGTATCTAAAAAGAAATGAGATTCTAAAAAGGTAATGATAAGTTGCTTGTTGAACATTGCAGACTTTTTMTTTAGTTTTACATCTAACACTAAACGTAACGTGATTCAGCTATGCGGAAAATCAGTATAACCAAAACTAATATCCCCAGATGATCTGAAACCAGAGGAAATAAAGCTGGATAATACCCACGTTTCCTTCCAGAGGAGCAGAGATGAAACTCTTACGTTCCCARATCTGACATGAAAACAACAGATAGAATCTAAAACAAGACTAACCTACAAAGAAAACATAGTTGTCTTTGTGATTTGACCAYATCATTTCAAAATAACAGTGTAAATAATATCATAAAATAAAACCAGGATGATAATTTCCTGCTRTTGAATAAATTGTTTTTATTGTGCCAGGAAATGTAAGCGTTAGATGTGTATGTATATACGCACATTGCATCGGGTTCTTTTGAAACTGCAATGCTAATTAACAAAAACAAAACGTAGTTTTGCTTTTCAGCCAACAACTTTCTGCTCTACAGCTGTGAACATATTTCCTGTGCAGATATATAGGAGCCCTGTACCATCTATTCATAAGTACATATTTGCRATCACATTCATGTGGTGTCAACATAGCATGTGTTAAAAAAGCCAAGCCTTCTTTGGTATACTTCCAAAACCTTGATCATCTTGTTATCTGAGGTTCAGTCCACAAACTGTTTGGACGATGGCAGTCTACTTGATCTCAACACTTCTGATGTTAACTTCTCCATTAAAGCGGATGACGGAGCATGTYTCCGCACCGGTGCGGTTTGGAAAGCTGAATGTGGAGCCATCTGTTAAAGACACAATAAACTCTGCAGGGGTGAATTCGATGGCAATCTATGGAGGGACAAAGAGAAATGAGAAAAAGATGAGAAGTTATCAAAATATACGACACACAACAATACACACACGTCCCTCACCTTGAATTCCTCTCCTTGTTGGAAGGGAAAGCCRTCCGGGCGGACCTCCTCACACCAGCTGCCTCCTTCAAACGAGTTGCAGACGACTGCATTCTCGTCTCCGTGGGCATTAAAACGAGGGTTGAAGTGCAGAATAATATCTTGCTCATTAGGGCCAATGTTTACCTCAAAGCTGCAGTGAAGAAACAGAACACAAAGATTTAATATAGTTTTCTTGATCAACAGTTCATCTGGCTTTTTTTAAGTTTTCTTTGAACACTGGCTAAATTTTCAGTCCTTTTTTGGCTCCTGGTGACAGCATATTGCACAGGATGTTCTTTAAAAAGGAATAAAATGAAGACGTAAAATAAAAACAAGAAGTGTCAGGCTTATGCCTCTACAGCAGATGAAGTGAATCTAACAGCAGCATTATTGAGAAATAGGATGGTGGTGGTGGGGGGGAGGTTACAGCTGCATACCAAGTTTCTGGCTGGTGACACTCAAAGTGACATTGTTGGTAATAGGGCTGCCACGATTACTAAGATTATTAAAATAATCGATGACTAATTTAATAATCGATTAACCGTTCTCTTTTTTTTTTGTTGTTTTTTACTTTGTTTTTCTCTCCAAACTGCTTTGACACCTTCCACTGCCACATCTGCCTTTCTGGCCTTGACACACATGCACAGTAGTGGTAAATGGGGTAGGCCGTGGACGTCACAAGACATTATACAGACAGGCTCTGGTATCATGGCTACCCAGCAACGGAGCTCAAAAGTGTGGGATCTTTTTAAGAAAATGAAAGAGAAACCTGTGCAATATCTGCAGAGCAGAACTTGCCTTCCACAGCAATTATTTTTAGTTAGCATATAGCTAAAATCTAACCATGGTTATATAATAGCAGTTGCATTCTGGCGCGATAAGCTGGATGTTTATATTCAATTAACGTATGATCCGATTAGTCGACTAATTGAAAAAATAATTGGTGATTAATCTATTATAAAAATAGTTGTTTGTGGCAGCCCTAGTTGGTACTGAAATCTCCATTTTCTACCACTCAGTAGTCAGGGCGCAGAGGCAATAGTTCCAGGAGAAAAACCCTCTTCCTGGCGACTCCATTGATCTCCTCTTGAGGGATTCCAAGGTGTTTGTTGGGCCAGAAAGCAAATGAGAGCCTTGCAGAGAGTTTCCCAGTTGTATATGCCCRGGAAAGCTACTTTAGGAGGCCTTTAGGAGCCATCCTAATCAGATGCATGACCCACCTCAGCTGWCTCCTTTCAATCCAGAGGAGCAGTATTTCTACTCTGGGCTTCCCCTGAATGACAATGCTACTCACGCTATCTGTAGGACTGAACCCGGTCACTCTACAAAGAAACTYTATTTCAGCTGCCTGTATCCTAAGTCATGATCCATGACTTAAAAATCTGATGGTCATCTAGCTGCTTCACACATAGCAGCAAGCTGYCCCAGTGCACACTGAAGCTCATAGTTTAAAGATGCCAACAGAACCACATCATCGGCATAAAGCAAACCAGACACCCTCCTTTCCCCAACTGCACCGTTAGATCCTGTCCATGAAAGCTACAAACAGGATCAGGGACAAGGGACGGCCCTGGCGGAGTCTAACTTTGGTTGTACGAGGACCAGAAAGCCCTTAAAACAACCCAGACGTCCCRCATGGCAGTACTCCTCACAAAACCAARAYATTTTATGTACAACCTTCAAAAAAACCCGATGAGCTTTTGATCAAGATCAGTTTAAAAAAGACTGAAAAGTTAGACTTATAAACCAAATACGAAAAAAAAAATGGATGACTTGAAACGTTTGCAAAGTGTTGCATCTACAGTGTCCAAYCCTTGGTAGGGTGGTATTTGTAGTCTCAACACCAGCCATTCCCTGATTGGCCGGCAACAGATTGGTTTCAGCTGCTCCTCGTTTCCCCTGATGATTTCTGTGGCTTTAAAATGCTCCACTGATGATCAGATCTTTGCTGGAACATCTCACGTCTTATGGTATTGGTCAAATACAATAATCTGTTGCCTTGCCTTGCTCTTGGAACTCTACTTACCTGCCACAGCTCCTCCGCCCTAAGCCCTACTCACCTGCCTCGGCTCCTCACCTCCTACCTGGAAACATAACTTACCTGCCTCTGCCCCTCTCCTACCTGGAAATGTAACTCATGCTTCTGCTCTTCACCACACACCTGAAACATAACCCACCTGCCTCTGCCCCTCGCCTCCAACTTGGACACCCTACTCACCTTTCGTTCCATGCTGCCACTCCTCCTGGAAACTGTAAGCAAATAGCTAACCTTCAGCTTAATAATTCCCACCAGCTCAGTCTGATCATTTCCTTCTTCATCCCTACAGATCTGAACCACACCTGTGTAAAAACTGTAATAAACTCACCATTTATTTTCTCWCTGAGTTTCTGTTCCTCTCGGCTGCCAAATTATTGACATTCCTGAGTCCTGATAGGTGTTTGGAAAATGATTGTAGTGTTAATGCTTCTGCCTACTCCTATGTTTTTATAACCTTATAATTTAATCGTTTTGAAAGAACAACTCTTCAGCCTTATGACTTTAGTTCTGTCGTAAAATGAAATCCCACATCTCAGAAATGTTTTCATCTTAATACTGTTTGTGGATTCAAAAGAAATGTGCAAAAGTATAGATGGGTTGTTAAAAACTTACTTTGTAGCGTCCGGTTTAGCCACTCCAACAACAGTCAGGGTTTGTCCAACACTGAAGAACATGTTCTTTACGGTCTGCATACAGTAAGAGGAGACACATGATGAAACAACATGCTATTGAGAGATGACATTACAGTTTTGAGTTTTCCAGGCAGAAACTAGTCCTAACCATAGCCTCTGCCAATTTTCCTACACTCACTTTATCCTGTCTGCTGCAGCAACATGTGTTTTCAATTTTACTCCGATCTGGCAAWGTTTGCAGAATCAGGAAAAGAGCTCTTTTGTTGCCAAGAATCTTTTTTTGCACATGCTGAAATGGAAACAAAGCTGGAAATGCATAGATGTGATGAAGAACTTTTGTTCAACTGAATATTTTCCTCAGTTGAATATTGGATGATAAATGGTGGAACAAGCTATGCATACCTTATTTGAGGTGGCAAAACTGGAAAAATATGTACTACTACAAAAAAAAAAAAAAACGTTTGAAAACTATTAAATCCACAAGGTTTTGCCATGTTTCCTGATTTGATCTTTTCTTGCCTTTTCTGAATTTTAGATATTTCTTCTGTGTTATAGTTTTTTTTTTATTTTTACTGGAACAGATATCACTGAGGTTTGAACTGGGCGGGGCTGGGCTGCGTTCAGAGATGAAATTCACCCACCACTTCTTGTCACAGTGACRAAATGTGTCTGCCAAATACCCACACTTATGTTCAGTGTGGCACTTTTACTGAATTAATACTTGTACTAAGGAACTTTATGTTGAAAAATCTGCAACATCACTGGAAATTTCTTACGGTGCGATTAGTACAGCATTATTTATTTATTACACTTTGCCTGTTTATCTTATTTTAGTTCATATTATCTTCAAATACAGTTTTAATATGTGCAAATTGTTTATGTGTTTACCCCAGAAGCCAAGCATTAAAAAAAAAAAGGCCTTCTTTGTAATGCAATAACTTTCTTAACCTAGAGCAATCACGATGTTTCTCTGACTTTTTGGATCTAACAATGAACAAGAGAGAAGATGCAGCAGGAAAGAGGTAGAAAATTGTATTTAATAGAAAGATTAAAATATCACTATTCTGCATCAGAAGACTTTGGTGAATATTTTGACCATAAAAGGCAAAGTAAAGAAATCCACTRCGCCAGATTTTTCAAACTGCTAAACAAATTTATATGCAGTGATTTGTATTATTTAATGCTTTGATCAGCGGATACATTTACATCAGCATGTGGAAAACTGAGCCAGCACCAGCCGTTTGTTCCACATTTAAACACGAGCTAAAACTGTATCGTTAAAGTACAAAACGAAGCAAAGCAAAGCCAGAACACGGCTGTTGGGAAAATGATACTTACTCCCATGATTGTTGCAGATGAGGGTGGTCAAGTAGAGCTGAGACAAAGTATGGGTGCTGCAGGGCCTCGCCTCTGTGCCTGCACCCAGACAGCTGCTATATACAGAGCAATGTGGGTGGGCGCTTGAAAGTGAGTGACATTCCACACAGCCAATACATGAGCACCGTGACTGATCACCAGCCAGCTGGTTTCAAATGAACGCATAAAGAGTGTAAAAACTGAAACAAGAAACCTCACAGCTGGATTAACAAGCACTTCAGTGAAGTGGCAGATTGTGACTTTGGATTGTAATTTTAAAACTTGCCTGAGTTGAAGTTAACTTTGTGTGAGAGYGCTGCCCAGAGTCAGAGACAAAAATAGAAATACATTTGTTGTCAGGGAGACAAATATTTACAACAGACAGCTGCCCTGATGTCCACCTACTGTATATAACATCTTATAATTTAGTTACGTCTCGTGTCAGAGTAATTTCTGCGAAAGTAAACTTTCCAGAAAAGAAATGAGTCCAAAGTTAAACTATCTGACTCAAGGGCAGAAGTGGGCCACACATTCTTCATCTGACACAAAGCAGTAACGTGACTGTTGCTGTTGGAACTCAAAGATTGCAACAACTGCGCTCTTGAACAATGAACTATTATTGAAGAAATGGGTATTRGACTTAAAATCAACTCTTCTATTTACATAGATGATGACAATTTATCCCATAAAGACCCRTTGTGACACTGGTGTCACCGCCCTTGTTAACATTGAGAAAAGTTTCTTATTAAGGTTTAACGTTGACTTTTAACTCACGAAGTCCCTAAGTGACGTCTACTTGACAAACTACTTTAACTACTTAAAAAAGTAGGATATTTATTATAAATTATAAATTAAATATGCCCAAAGTGACATACTGTATGTGACATTTCTAAAAGGTGGAGGTATTAAAAACGTCAGCAATGTGTTACATATAATCAGTTTGTTAACATCTGCATACTTTTCATARAAAGTAAAAATGGGTCTGGGTTCAAAGGATTAGTCTGTTTATGTCTGAATGTCATTTGTGATTTTGTTCTTGTGTAAAGGTGCAACAGTGTTGTTTGGCAGGTTTTTTTTTACCCCCAGTGTATAAATGAAAACATWTAAATCTACTTTTAAAAATGCATTGAATTTAGAGAAAATTAAAGGCCCAGCATTGCCTGAAAAAATGCACATCTTCTGCCTTTCAGGCGATTATTGAGAAATGTGAAAAACACGTGGCTGTGTTGGTCAAATTCTAAAAGGTTTKTTAATGTATATTATGGTAATGAGGTAGTACGTAGTCACACAAACATGTCGTCCTAAGACAACATTTCACAACCATTCCACGCAGCCCAACTGGACTGTGTATGGGGTGTTGCCTCCATGGGCCATGGTCTACGTGGGCTGTAGCCCCTGAACTGAGACACAGCTCAAACGTTTTATTAAAATCAGTTGTTCATGAGATAATATGGGTTAATGAAGTTTTAGGTGAAACCAAAATGTAACAATGCATACAATTTAGCCCAGCTTCTATTAAATTCAGTGAGTTGTAGTGATGTTTGTGTTTTCTAAGGTCAGATGGCTATGGCCACCTTCTTGAATTGTGCTGACTTCAGTTACCCAATTATAGATTTACACTCAGTGACAGACAGGATGGGGATAAACCGTGTCAGCAAGATTTATCAGCTCAGGTCTCCTGAGATCAATGAAGCTGTTACAAGTTCAAATCTGCTGCCATGCAAGCTGTTTGGTGATTGAGACATTTAACTGATGGTGTCTGGCGGATAGACTTTTCTGAGTGTTGCATCATGAAAATCTAGTCATTAAAATTTTGAGAACTCAATATGCATTTAATCAGGAGGATAATTACTGAGCAAATATTTCAGGAGAGAGCCAACACCCGTCTATAATTAAACAACCATAGAATGTATTTAGTTTCACAAATTATGCAAGGCTCCTTAAAGACGACCCTAAAAAAAGGTCCTGAGGGACAAAATAAATACCTTTTTTTTGTCTGCACTTCTAATTCCTGACAGTAAATTAGATGGACACGTTTTTTTTTTTTTTAATGAATTTATTGAAGAGTAATCATATTGTTAATATTCATATTTTTTTCATCATATCAAGCAAGTACAATGCCTGGCCAAAAAAAACAAAGTCACCCTAATATTTGTTGGACAGCCTTTAGCTTTGATTAAGCAAGCTTCTGCAACGTCACCACATTAATTTCTGTCCAGAGTTGCACTAAAACATCGCCAAGATCTTGTATTGACGACGGCAGATCGGGACCTCTGCGCAAAGCCTTCTCCAGCATACCCCAAAGATTCTCTATCGGGTTCAGGTCTGGACTCTGTGGTGGCCAGTCCGTGTGTGAAAATGACGTCTCATGCTCCCTGAACCACTCTTTCACAATTCCAGCCCGGTGAATCCTGGCGTTGTCATCTTGGAATATGCCCGTGCCATCAGGGAAGAAAAAMTTCATTGATGGAATAACCTGGTCRTTCAGTATATTCAGGTAGTCAGCTGACCTCATTCTTTGGACACATAGCATTGCTGAACCTAAACCAGCCCAGCTGCAGCAACCCCAGATCATAGTACTGCCTCTACAGGCTTGTACAGCAGGCACTAGGCATGATGGGTGCATCACTTCACCTGCCTCTCTTCTTACCCTGACGAACCCATCRCTCTGGAACAGGGTAAACCTGGACTCATCAGACCACATGACCTTCTTCCACTGCTCCAGAGTCCAATATTTATGCTCTCTAGCAAATTTAAGCCGCTTTTTCCGATTAGCCTCACTGATTAGTGGTTTCCTTATGGCCATGTAGCTGTTTAGTCCCAATCCCTTGAGTTCCCTTCACATTGTGCGCGTGGAAATCCTCTTGCTCCCACTAGTAAACATAACCGTGAGCTCTACTGTTGTCTTTCTACGATTTGATTTCACCAAACGTTTAAGTGATCGCCGATCTCGATCGTTCAAAATTTTCTTGCGACCACATACCTTTGGGGCGGCTGTGGTAGAGTGGTTAGGGGAGTCGACCTGGAACCGGAAGGTCGCCGGTTCGATTCCCATCCAGTCGACTCAGTCGTTGTGTCCTTGGGCAWGACACCTTACCCACCTTGCCTACTGATGGTGGTCAGAGGGTCCGGTGGCACCTGTGTAAGGYAGCCTCGCCTCTGTCAGTGCRCCCCAGGGCAGCTGTGGCTACAATTGTAGTTTGCCATCATCAGTGTGTGAATGTGTGTGTGCATGGGTGAATGTCTGCAGTGTAAAGCGCTTTGAGTGTCGCTGATGGATAGAAAGGCGCTATATAAGTACAGTCCATTTACCATTTACCTTCCTGGACGATGATATTTCCTCACGGTCCTTCCAGTTTTTGATAATGCGTTGCACAGTTCTCAGCCCGACTTTAGTCTTTTCAGCAATCTCCTTCGATGTTGTCTCTGCTTGATGCATGCCAATAATTTGACCCTTCTGGAATGAATTGAGATCCTTTCCTCGACCAGAGGATGTATCTTTCATGGTTGTTTAACAAGTGAGTTAGGGTTCAATAACTTGTTAGTTAAAACATCACCCATGTAATCGGAGGCTTTTATCTATTTGTTTAGTCAAATCCTAGTGGTGACTTTTTGTTTGGTTAGACAGTGTCTTAACTACTGTATTGGTTACAAATTTTGAGTATAAAAACAACAAAGCCTTTTTACGAATGTGAGCATAAAAGAGCCATTTGAGGACAAAAGCAAGTGTTTTTCTAAACACTTGTAAGGCTGACTGAAAGCATATGACAACAAAAAAAAATCACATTCACTTATATTTAAGTGAAAAGTTCTGAATGCTATGTAGAAATGTTATACAGATATAATGACTGATGTGTATGGTACATACTGTATTTCTGTCTGCAGATCTTTAGATTATGACTTTTTTAGCTCTATATCTTGTCTCCCCATCGTTTTGCTTATATCTACTCTCAGTCAGCTAACATGCAGAGCTGACACAGATTTGAACCAGTTTGGAAAACATTTGACCCGATGACTTTAGAAAAAAAACATTTAGAAGCCAGCGGTTCTTTGGAGGATTGACGTTTACTTGATCTCCACGCTTACGATGCGAACATCCCCAGTGAAGCTGAAGAAGGAGTATTTCTCTGCTCCAAGGCGGTTGGAGCAGAGCACTGCACTGACCACTGCACGAGTGGTCAGTGCAGACTCGCTCCAAAAGATCACTGAAAACCCCGAAGATGTGAATTTAGCTGTGATCTGAATCAGTCAGGAAAGAAAAGAACGGATGGAAGGGAGGATTGTTGAAATATTACTTCCAATTTACAACTCATTTTTGATCATTTTCTCAGTTGAAATAACATGCATATTCACCAAAAGTTAAACATCGCTACCCATTTAAAGAGTGACCAGGTGTGTGTGAGAAGAGAACACGTCCCACCTTGAACTCTTCCCCCTTACAGAAGGGAAAGCACGAGTGATGCTGCTCCTCACTCCACTTGCCTCCCTGGTAAGAGTTGCACACGATTTTCTGATTTCCTTCTAAATCAAATCGTGGGTTGATGTGCAGCATTAGGTTCTCTTTGTTGAGGCCAATATTCACCGAAAAACTACAATGAAGGAAAGACAATAGATTTGTTAGATTTTCAAATGCAACACAACCTCACAGATACGTGTTTGCTGCAGGTAAACAGCACCTGGTGAGTTAAAGGTTTGGATCTCACCTGGAAGCGTTCGTTTTGGGAATCCCAACAACAGTAAGAGTTTGTCCAACTTTGAAGGACATATTCTTTATTTCCATACCCTTGATACAAATAAAAGTGAAAAAGGTAAAGTAATAACACATTATTTTAGCCAATAAAGAAGCACACAGACCCTTCATGTTTTCTGGTACCACTTCACCATTGGTGCGCCTTTAGAAAGAGTTCAGTAATGCTTTATTTATGCTCATACTTGAATTTGTTTTTTGCCCATTTTATAAATGACCGATGCTTTTTTTTATAAAGTCATGAATAACATCTCATAAAATATTTATAGATGTTTTATAAAATGACTTTTATTGTGAACTGGTACCAGTTTTGTTTCGGTCAGAAATACTGAAAAGTAATAATTTACATAAACTTTAGATTTGCTTTGATTAAATTTTCATTCAAATAATTTCAATAATTTTATGATTTTGCTTTTTTCCCTCTGCAACTTGATTGTCTCAAAGTAATCGATTAGATTAATTGACAGGGGTATAGTTCCAAAAGTTGCGAACAAAAAATATCTTACCTGTTGTAGATAGTGTAGAAGTTAGCTTGTCAGTCTGGTTGGAATTAAACTCTCATTTTTAAACACTGTGCAAAAATGAAAATGAAATAAATGTACGTGTAATGCACTGCCAATTGTATACTTACTGTCTCCATCTTTGCACGAGGGCAGTTTTCAGTCAGGTAGAGCTGAGACAATGCGAAAGGTGCGGTCTCATCCCTCTGAAGTGTGGCACGCGAATATATAGGATGTGGGAGGGTGCCTCAGACTGAAGGTCATTTCAAACAACAAAAGTGATGACGGTTGACTGGAGATCTCAAAGAACGGAACACGTTTTGTTGTTGTTATCTGTATTAAAGATTACACTAGGAGACTCATACAATTGTTGCTAAGTTTTAGATTTAGAGGATTATTTTTAATTATGAAGCTACATTATGGCTAAAATAAAAAAAAGGAAAACATTTCAGAGAGATACCTGCTCAGAATATGGCTCGTTAAAGAAGTTTACATGGCAATAGTTTGTTTGGTCTACCTGATAAAGTTCTGCAAAAAAAGAGTCTCATTGACCTTGTGCTTCTCAACATAACATAAAAACGAAACTGGAACCAAAGCTAAGAATGCAGTCGACATATAAAACTGTACAAAATCTGTGAGATAGTGCTTTTTGTTATTGCTAACATTTGTTAGTATGCAATGTTGTTCATGCGGAGCCATAATTCCTGCCACACACAGACAAACTAGCTTTGTTTGTAGATTTTATATAGATTTAGTAAGAATACGTCTTGTCTGGAGCCTGACTTCTTGAGGTTTTGTTTGTTGGCAACATTTTTCTGTTTATGTTTTGTGAATATTTTCGACCTACTTTACTTTTTGTTCAAGAAGCACATTAAGACATGAGCATGGCCCAGTGTGCTTCAGTTTGAGGGGTGCTGTGAACACCAGTATGAATCTATGTTTATCATAATAACAAATATACAGTATGTATGTGATGGGATGGAGCAGCTGCAACACCTTTCACAACCCTTGGGAAGTTTGAGATTTAAGTTACTCTGATTTCTGGAGTTTGGAACTGTTAGTTGTGTTACAGCTGGACTTAGGCCTTGTTAAAACAATAAGACCCTCTGTTTTCTATGTTGTTCCTGAAGCACGTCCGGTGACACTATATAAAAAATAATAAAAATATGTGTGATATAATTAATGCATGGCCACAAGATAATAACTTGTGGTCAAGAGATAAATACTGTGTGGTCACCAGATGGTTAATGTGTGGCCAGAAGATATTTGTTACAGTCAATTCCATGCAGAGTCTGCTAATTTATATGGACAACTTTGAATGAATTTCATTTTGTTTTAAATAACTAGCATACTTCAGTCACTTGTGGTTAGGCRTGAYGTGATTCTTAACATTTTATGTTGCAGCYAGAAGACACAGGTAACGACTGGAGTTGTCTTTATAACGAATCCAACGATAAGGGCTTAGAACAAGAGGAAACAAAGTCCATTTAATCTCAGAACACATTGTCCAAACATAGAAAAAAGATATCGGAGGCCTCAGTTAGCAGTTCAAATGCAAAACAATTCAACGTGTTAATACGTCTTGCTTAGAACAGATGCTGGAAGATTTGTTACCATCAAATTAAAAATTACATCATGTTTGAAAGTATGACTCAAATGATATGTGCGTTAACATTTTACATTACACCCTGAATTTTTGGAACTGGGCTTCTACAAGGAACTCACAACCCTGGAACATAGTCCCATTATTTTTTTAAATGCTTTCTAACAAACAGCCCTGTAATAATATTACAACCTGTCTTCGTGTACCCGCCTCACATACAATGACCAGTGGAGATAGGTACAGCTCCCCCACAGCCCGGATAGGGGAAAAAAAAGTGTTGTTCTTATCTCAAGCAACAGACCAGAACAGGCAAAACAATGTAGTAYGCCGAACTGACATTTCACTTTGTTGCACTCTGAACAGCAAACAAACAAAATCTACATATTACTATTATTTTTCTTCTCTTTAGAGTGTAAGTTAAAAAAGTTGAGAGATACCTTATGTTACTTGGGCAAAAAAATAAAAAAAAAAACTAGCAATGTTCCAAAACAAACATAAGACTGTTGGCTCCTGATAATTTACTATTACCCAAGACCAGAAAATATGATGATCTTAGTTTTGGCTTCACAGTGGATGTGGTAGGAGATGAGGAAATAGTTCTGTGTTTTATGTCTCAAAACTCTGGCAGTGGACAGAATGAAACCTAATAAATTAAGATTCAAGAGAGCTCTGGAGGACAAACTCCTTAATGAACTTACAGCCAAGTTTACTGATAAACACTTTATGATGAAGTCAGCATAGCTGTGATGCATTTGTATTACCGTTTGATTGTTTGCACATTTTCTGAAAGCACRCTTCATGTTCTCAGAACTCTACACAAAAATTTAAAAATAAATCACACTCAAGGGGCAAAACGACTCATTTCCACCGCAAAATGAAACTTTACCTTCAAAACAAGGCAATTTCTTCTCAAAATGGTATCTTGCTTTCAATTGACACTCAAAACATCAGATGAACACACTTTTATAAGAGTTAACACTGATGAGCTCAGCGTAAAACACTGTGACTTTTCTCCCTTTAACCTTTTGTTAAGTGTTACACCTACATACTACCAGCAGTTTATACCTACGTGTGCTGTAAAATATTTTAAAATACTGTTTTTATACTCAGAACGCACATATGTAAAGTCACAAAACTATTTGCATTATTTCCCCACAAAAACAGTGTGTACATCCTAACCAACRCAAAGCTGTCAAGCTGRCATTTTCAGTGTTCTCACAGTGTCAGCAATGACACTCTCATTGCTTCTGATTGTGTTGTTCTCTAGAACCAAAGGGCTTCTAGCTCCCATGTAAATATGACAATGCTCTCATCTCTGTGCGGCATTCTTTCAACTAGAGGAAGGTGTTTTACAGTACAAACATTTGTGTGTTTTCTAGAAACATGCATTTAAAAAAAATCATGCATTAAATAGAAACATCAATGGACATGTTTCACAACCTATTTGTACAGCATTGTACTGAGATGAAACATACTCCTACGAAACAGAACTATGAAATACTCCTACTGAAAATATGTAACAAGAAGCCCACTTCTGTTCTTACGCCTGAAATTCGAAAAGTGCTGACACTGCCCTCCAGTGGTCATCGAGTTGTATTACTTTATTAGTGTCTAATTCATATAACTTTCTTCAGTAGGTTTGGAT